GCGGGTAGGGCAGATGGGTGCCCATGCAGAGCACAAAGCCAGGTGAGGTGAGGTTCAACCAGGTGGCCCCCACCGAAATACCCTGATGACGAGGAGGACCTAAACCTACGTTCAGCCCCTCTGGGCAATTCAGGGCCCAATGGGAGAGGTGCTGGGAGCTGGGCTGGACCATTGTGGTCTTGCTTGCGTACACCGGGACCATACAGGGACCCCCCCAGCCCAGAGTGGGACACACAGAGCAATGGGCACCCCCTCCTCTGCCACACGGCGTGGGCAGGATGGCCCGGGCACATCTCCGAGCACAGGTGGGCACAGTGCAAAGCCAGCGACGGACGCACTCCAGGCGTGTGGGTACTTACAAAGAACATGGACAAAGTCCTTCGCGTGTGCAGGCGGCGCTGGAAACAGAGGAGACAGGCGGAGGTAAGCACGTGGCAGCGCGGAGCAGGGCCACGGATGCCTCGGCAGGCAGAGGACTGGCAGCGGGGCACAGCACCCCGTGTGCCCGCACGGCCCTGCGCGCACGGAGAGCTGCCACGGACACGGGCGCGAGCACAGCATGCAGCACGCACACACCGCCGAGCGCAGGACACACACCCAAAGCATCCACGGATGCCAGGCGGCGTGCACCCACCTCCGGGGTCACGGGCTGGGCGCGCGCATGGATTGGGTGCATGGATCTGGGTGGGGGCAGGAGCACCCGCGGGCAGGGGTAGCTGTGGGGGCTTTACCAGGGTCTGGTTGGCAGAGAGCATGGTGGTGTCGGTGCTGTCCCCATGCAGGGGCACCAGCGGCATGGTACCGAACTTCTGCTTGGCGAGGTCGGAGGAGGAACGCCGGCGCATGATCACGGGGCGCAGGTCATCGTGCTGTGCACATGGACAGGGTGTGGAGAGGGGAGGTCACGTCAGGCTGCCCTGCCAGCCCCCCTCTCATTCCATCCCAACTGGGAGGCACTGCCAGCCTGCACCCACCTGAGCCTTGAGGATGCTGGTGGTCCAGTCCCACAGCTCAGCCTGCCCCGAACACACCAGGTACCTGCGGAGGAGTCAGCTGAGAAGCTGCCAGGGAGCAGGGCCAGCAGGACCCACGTCCCCTTGTCACCTTGCCCGCGAGCTCCGGGGCAGTCAGGCACAACTACACCCACTGGGGCTGCACCACCAAAACTCTCTGCGTGCCCAAATTGCCGCTTCCAGGCAAGGCGAGAGCTTGTCAGGCACCCACGAGGCACCTGGGCTCAGCTGTCACCCTTAGAAGAACATCTCAACCCCATGTCGGGGCAGGCAACGTGCTCATCAGCGGTGCCAGGGATAATGGGAACAGGATCAGCAGGATGCACGGGTGCACCTGGGCACCCAGGGGTGCAGGGGCACTCGGTGTTGGATGCACGGGGACGCAGAGCAGCACTGGGTGAAGGCTGGCAGGCAGCACAGCCGTGCGGGTGGCATGCACACCCAGGCAGGGTGGACAGGTCCCTCTGGAGCCCGGTGCTTGGAGGACGCATCTCCCAGGGTGTGGATGGAGAGGTAAGGAAGGGTGTGTGGTACGGAGGTGGATTGCCCCTGGAGCCTGGCCCCCACCTTGTGCCAGGGAGCACGTGGCCCCACTGCTCCGTCCCTCCGGTGCCCCAGCTCTGCCCTGGTGTCCCACTCCCACTAAAATTGGAGACAGGTCTCAAAGCCCCCCTGGCCCCAGGACTGCAGGGGCAGATACTCACAGCTGCTGCTTGTCCAGGGTCAATGTGAAACCCCCCCTGGGGAAAGCAAGAGACAGGCCATGGGGCGGCACCGCCAAGCTCCCACAGCCCAGGGTCTGTGGGGGGCTGAGCTCGCCCCTTGGGCCAAGGCTTGTCATGGTTTTGGGTTCTGGCAGGGCTTGGCATGGTCCCAGTGGCTCGGTTTGTGTGCTGGGTGCAGGGGGTGAGGACTGAGGGATGCATGGCCGGGGAAGGTCCCACTTACTGGGCTGGTGGCTTCAGCTTCTTCCTAATGCCCATGTAAACCTTGGCTGCATCCAGGGGCCACTCGCGCTCCGGCTTGGCACTCTGGGGAAGGAGATCCATCGGGTCAGCCTAGCTTGGTGCCAACCTCCCTGCCAGAAGGACAGCCACCACCATGCCACCGCTGTCCCCCACTCCACCCCCTCCCCGCCTCTCCTCCCGCCCTCGAGGTGCTGGTCCATCCCCGCAGCATCCCCCGGGGTCGGGGTACCCTCTTCTCCTTGAGCAGCAGCAGCCTCCGGTCCCGGATGACGAAGTAGCGCTCCTGAAACTTGTTCCCCAGCAGCTTGGGGGGCTCCTCGCGACATTTCAGCAGCCCACACTTGGGGGTCTCACGCTTGATGCCTGCCCAGTGCGGGGAGACGGGGGTCAGGGGGGCTGGGAGCATGTGAGGGTGGCTTGGGTATTGCAAGGGGACCCCACCGTGGGTGTCAGGGACGTGTCCCCGATGGCTGCAGGGCAAGGGGAAGGTCGGGCAGAGCTGTCCCTCTCTGGGGACACGAAGGGCTGGGACCCTTTGTGATTGCCTTACCTGTGAAGAGACAGCTGCCCTCGCCAATGGGGACCTTCCTCACCAGCAGATACGCGGTGCTGGGCTCCGGGAGCTTGCACCACTGCAAAGCTTGCTCCAGCACCTTCTCCTTGGGGTGTAGTGGCCGCTCTGGGGAGGCAGGGACACTCTCACCACTGTGTCTCCTTCCCCGCGCCAGTCCCTGTCCCCTGTGCCACCAGCAGCAAGCCAGCCTCCTGTACCCCACACCTCTTCCTCACCAGCACAGCCATGCCGAGAGCATCCCTCCGTGCCATCCCCACCATGCTCACCCAACTCCCCGTTCTCCAGGGCCTCGAAAGTCAGCCAGATGTCCAGGCTGGCCGCGACATTGCGCATCTCCAGCACATGGTTGGTGAGCTCCTCTGCCGTCATCGTGGGGGACACCTGGGGCCGGACACACGAGGAGGTGTGGTGGGTGGTGGCAGGATGGGTGCCAGGGACAGGCTGTGCCAGGAGCCTGCATCCCTCTGCCCTTCTTCCTCCGGCACGGCCCTCCTTTGGGACTCACCTTCAGGGTGACGCAGCAGTCGGGCAGCTTCTGCTCCAGGTAAACCTCGATGATGAGGTCCCCTGCCTGTGAGAGCTGGGGGAAGAGTGGGTGGCATTGGTGCTGTGCTGACATGGGTGCTGTGCCCATTCCCTCTCCCCAGGACTGGAGGTGGTGTCCCGGGAGCTGGGGCTGCTTCTCCCCTGGGCAGGAGCCACAAGGTGATGGGCAAAGGGGAGACGTGGGGGAAGGTTCTTCCCCAAATATCTGGTGGGGGACAGCGGGGACCCAGGGCAGTCCCACCAGCCCAGAGGTCCCTGACGTGATGGGGTCCGGCAAGCACATCCATAGTACCTGGGTGTCCTTCCAGGTGGTGATCAGACTGTTCTCCAGATCCATCTGGGATACCTGGTCCTCGTCAATCTGTGGGAGGAAGGGTGCACGGGGTGAGAAGGGAGACACATGGAGTCAACGTGGAGTGGGGTATGGCTTGAAGACACATGGCCAGGCTGGAGGGATGTCGGAGGGGGGCAGAGGTGGGCAGTATGGGGGGACACAAGGGGAGATGAACAAAGCCAGCATGGAGAGAGCTGGCAAGACCCCTGCAGGGAGCTTACATTGAAGATGCTGACATAGTTGTCAATGAGGTCTTCCATCACCTTGACCTCGTGCTCCCCTTTGCCATCGGTCTGGAAGAGGCTGGGTGCGAAGAGCAGTGACAGGTTCTTGGTGCTCATCTGGTTGAGGTCTGCACATTTCTGCACCCTGGGATAAGGAGGATAGAGGTGAGGGGCTGGTCCCACTCCGGATGGGGTTTTGGCCCCAGCCACCCTCCTCTGCCTCATACAAACTCTCCTGAAAACCAGCTTGTTTTTCCCCAGCTCCCCAGCAGTGAGAACTTCAAGCTGGGCCATTCCTGTTTGAGGACTTCCATCTGCCATCAAACCAGACAACAGCCTCACCTCACACTCTGAGTTGGGGCTGGGAATTTGGTTTCTTCCCTCTTTTTTGGACACTGGGTGAAGTTCACATCCTACAGTGAGGTGTCCCCCACTCCCAAACCTCCTGTCACTCCCCCTTGCTGCAGGACAACTTTGGGAATGTTTGAGGCGTTCCAGAGGAGCATGCTCCAACAAACCACAGCACCAGGTAGGGGGCTGGTGGGGCAGGGCACGGGCACTGGGCTTTTCCTGGCTCACAGGGATGGAAGCCACACTGCTGGTTGACCTTGGGGACCCCATCTGGACCAGGGGACCCAGCAGGGAGGTGGCCCACTGACCGATAGAGATGCCCGATCAGGGCAGCCAAGGTCTTGTGGTTGAGGCGAGGCAGGCGATGGATGAGCTCCTTGTACCGCTCCAGGCGCTGGGGCTTCGAGGAGATTTCTGGAGGGAGGGAAATGAGTCGTGGACCATTTCTGAGTCCGGTGGACGCAGAGGTGACATGGCACCAGGGCTGGTACCAGGACTGCATCCTGAGGGACACCAGCCCCAGGGGGTCCCTGGAAGACAGCCCAGCATGGGAGCAGGGGTTGGGTGAAGGAGGTACCTGCAGCCTCCTTCCACTGTGGGTGCAGCTCCAGGGTGAAGACGGGGTCCTCGAGCTCACGGAAGAACCTCTTCAGCACATCGGTGACGTCCTCGATGAAGTTGTCGTTGATGCGCAGCTTGACGTTGCGGGCGTCCCGCCGAAACTCCTCCATCAGTACCTTGATCCGGGACTTGGCTCCGTTCTTGCGGTAAATCCCCTCGTGCCGCAGCCCTGGGACCGGGACACGGAGTCATGGGGGCCCGATCCTGCCCAGAAACTCCTCAACGGGGCTGGTGCCCTGAGAGCGGTGCCTCCTGCCCGCGCCCCACGGC